CGGCAGCTGCATACGTTGACATTCTAAGCGAAAATTTGACAATAAGCGCGGAAAAAATGCATTTGGGGTCGTTTATTTTTCAACAAGATAACGACCCCAAGCACACGTCCCGACTTGCAACTCATTTTTTTTGAAGAAAACGCAGTCGAAAAACTTAACTGGCCAGCTCAATCGCCAGATTTAAACCCGATTGAGCATTTGTGCTCAATTTTGGACTCTAAAACTCCAAAAAGTAGCCGCACAAATTTGACGTCCTTTTTCTTAGAGATGAATCGCCAATGGGTTAATATTTCGTCGGAAATATTAGAGAATTTGGTTCGAAGTATGCCCAAACGTCTTCGTGCAGTAATTCAAARTAAAGGTGGTAATACCAATTACTAAATTTCTTTTCAAAAGAAAATTGTCTATATGTGTTGCCAATTTATACTTTCATTTGACGACTTTTGTTTTAGTATCAGATTTTCAAATAAAAAAAAAAAATATTTTTCTTTCGATTAATGGAATAAGATTTACTTTACATTTTTTGTTATCCATATACGTTTAGAAATAGAACAATATTGTATGAATTACTACTTATTTTTTTAAATAAATCTAATTGAAATAACTACTGTGAAATTTATACTTTCATTTGACGCCTAGTGTATATGTAACTAAAACAAAATTGTTTCAATTGCAAATATTCATTAAGTAAAAACTACTTGCACCTATTATTTTGTTTATAAGTATACTTATATTCGAGCCCAACCAGACCATAATTCCTATCTTCGTTAATAATTCGACTTTCACGCCGCCTGATGGTTACGCGTTTATCGGAAATCGGGATAGCTGAAGAAGAATGCAATTAAGTGTACTATGCTATACCACTTATATTTTATATGCAGGCGTAATATTGTTTATTATAAGTACAATAACAGTAGGTTTTATTTGGTGCATATGCGCCTGTTTATTGTTGCAATATAAAGTTCACTTTGTTTTCCCATAAAAAATGATAATGTCATACCATAATTGAATTCCGTTCCAGATACATATAAATTATATCTTAGCTCAGCTGCATCTATAAATTATGAAAAACATACATATGTTCTAATTACAATCAATTTAATGTGTGCACTCTGCAATTTCAGCATACGAAGCGTACGGGATGGGTGCTGCGCAACGTCAGTGACCCCGAATCTATATCAGGTCATATGTATCGCATGAGTATGATGACCTTTCTACTGGACGGTAGCGAGGGTCTTAATCAGATACGCTGCATGGAATTGGCATTAGTGCACGATCTGGCTGAGAGTGTAGTTGGCGATCTGACTCCTTTCTCCGGCGTCTCCAAATCGGACAAACGCGCTATGGAATTCAAGGCAATGGAAGACATTTGCAAGTTAATAGAACCGCGTGGCAAGCGTATCATGGAACTTTTTGAGGTATAACAGTATACAAAAAATATATTTAATTTATTTAATAATTTTTCGCTTGACTTACAGGAATACGAAGCAGGCGAAAGTGCTGAATCGAAGTTTGTCAAAGACCTAGATCGACTCGACATGATTATGCAGGCATTTGAGTATGAGAAACGTGACAATTGTCTATTGAAGCATCAGGAATTCTTCGATTCTACAGAGGGTAAATTCAATCATCCATTCATCAAGAAACTGGTTGATGAAATCTACGAGCAGCGACAGAATTTGGCGCGCGCCGAAGGTGCTACGCCACCACCGCCTGTGCATGTGCCCGACATTGAGGCATTGCCCAGCACCAATGGTCTACAGAAGAGTGCGGATGCCGCCTCAGCGCTTGAGGAACCAGTCGTAGAATCCCCAAAGAACAAAACCAGCACCACTAGTTGATTGCGCAGCAGCACGAAAGGCATGCAAATGTCGTAAAAGAATAGCAGCAACTGGCAAAATATATGCTACGGCAACTGTCATTCACGGATTTGTTTGACAAGTTTTTAAATAATATTCTCTCGGTTAAGTTAAATAAAATAATAATCGCGGTAGCTAGTACTTTATTCTGTGCATAGTAGATTTTATTTTTCCTTTTGCACTAAGCCAAAAATCAAACGAAAACTAACTGTATTGAACAAATTTTATTTAATTTATCACTCGTCTTAGTGCACATGGTATTTAAAAGTGTCATTTTCAATAGTCTAAGTTAGACTAAAATATTATTTAACAATCATCATATTGCCTGCACGCTACAGCATAAGGTTGTAAAGCGAGGATTTTAACGATGTTTTTAATTGTTATTGTAATATAAAATCAATGAAACTATATTCATAAACATTATAAGTATCTCATTGTTCCATGCTACATTGTAATTTACTGTAATAGCAAATTTGATCGGCGTTATAGACACTTATGCAATTTAATTTGTACAAAACTAACAACATTAAAGCATTGGGTTTTGTTGTAACAGCATAACACAATCAACATGCTGCTTCAGTGCAGGCCTTGGTAGAATATAATAAATACCGGTGTGGTAGATTCGACTGTGGTAGGTATGATTGAATATGTGGTAGACGTTAAAATAGTTGATTTAAACTTCTACCCTCTGTTACCACGCCAATCACTACCACGTGCTGTAACAGTTAAATAAGACTGAAAAAATTAAACGGATTGCAAATTTTATGAGCGCTAATCTTAAATTTGTATTGAATACAAGCGTCACATGCCATGAGAAACTCATTGAAAAAACTACAGCGTTTAAGGTCAGTGTCTTAATTTAGGTTTATCTACTCTTTTAAAAACTACTGTTATTATTGTAATAATTTATGAAGCATACGCATTGTGATAATTCTCATCCTTTTATTTCATTTGCAATTGCACCAACGATTACCTTTGAATAATATAGTTTATTTACAATAGGTGAGATACTTAACAGTGAATCTGCTTTATTTTTTAACGAAGAACATTATTTATTAGCAACACGTTTTTAAACAAAGGTTAAAAGTTAAAATACCATTTTATAAATAAACTTCATGTGAAAAGGAGTATTTAAATCAAAAAATAAAATGACCAACGGCATTATCTAAATATAATTCCTTTATATTAATAATTTTCTCGCAGAAAATATAAAACTATCATATAACTACTTTACTTTTATTTAAACACTTAGAATTAAGCTTTTAGCTTAATTTTAAGACACCTTAACACATGTACTATGTATTTAATAGAAGGGAAATGCGTTAGAGGCAAACATATTAGTTATATGTAAACAAAATTAATACTACACATACAGACGCATTCGCATAAGAAATAAAAGTTTTTCCTGTAATGAAAATGACTTATGTTGAATGATAACAAATGAACATTGTTTCTTGACAATTAGCGAAGATATTGAAAAACCAAATATTTAATTAAAATTTTAACTTACAAATTAGTTTTGTTAAAATAGCTAAATCAAGTTTCTAATATAGAAAGTCCGCTAAGTGTGTATCTAATTTAAAAGCTTTGATTTACCAGTTGTAAAAATATATTTGTAATTAATTTAAAAACAAAAAAATCTAAATTCGAAAAAAACGAACTTTTCATGTGTTTAATTAATGGCCCTTTATAATTCCTTTGATTCAATCAATTGCTTTTCAGATGTTCCGCCCTAAACTGTTATTATTTATTAACGATATCTCTAATAGAGGGCCAAATTTTGTTGAATGTCGACGACGTAAAGCTTTTTAAATCATATATAGCGAAATTCCCCACGGCAGTTCTTATAGTCGGACATCTCCCATACCTGGAAAAATTTCATGATCACAACGATTTCATTTCTGTTTTCATACAAAACCAATTCCTATGACCGATATGATCGGGAACGGACACTATTTTGGTCGCATTTCTTTCAAATTATCTCTGATAAAAGGACACGATTTCATAAAATTTGGTAAGAAAACTGTGTACAATTTATAGTTCCGCCTTTCAAATTCTTTTTATGAGTTTTTTTTTAACAGTACGTAAATGATCACAGCAAACAAATTGGCTTACGTTGGTGCCGTCTGGTTCGCTCCGCGGTAACTATTGGGATAATTGTCAGTCATTCACTCCTCTCTGACATTGACTCGCCTTTCTTAGTTCAATAAAAATGTAGTTTTGAGTTGCAGCTTCTGACTCTAAGGATACATTTCAAACACTCGTTTTTGCCACGCCTCCATATATGGACAGCTCTATTAGCCGGACAAAAAAAATTACGATGGTGGGTATGCGGTTATGAGATATTTTACTGTCCTTCACTGATGAAAGGTGTCTGTTACAAACAGATTTTAACGATTTGGTTGCTTGGTGCGATAGGGATTTGCCATTGAACTCAAAAAATGTTTGACGATGTGCCTTTACCGGAGGTCTGTGCACGTCTCTCTCCTTGAGCTTAATTTCTTGAGCTTTAAGCTTAAAGGCGGCCTTAGTTCGAATTAAGAATAGAGTACATAACATAGCAGTACTTTCATGGCCCTTAATTCTAACATAGCCACCTATCCATCGACTCATCGCGATTCAAAGATGATGGTTTTTCCCTGATGTTGTCGGGACTGACCCACTTTTCATTATCAGTAACCATCCTCTTTAGTAATGATCGTTTTTTTGCGCTTTGCAGAAAACTTACACGCGGGCAGTCTTAGTGATTTCTATTATTTTAGCAATATATTCGACAGTTGATCCTTCAAAGAGTGATGCGCTTTGGTTTCAAAATTTTTGGAACAGAATCGACGAAGCCAAAATTGGTCATGATTGATTCCTATCACGGATCACAAAAACTACTCACATGTTAAGCTGGTTAATTTTTTATTTATTTTGCAGATTGACTTTTACATTTAACAAAAATGGATAACTGGGACACAGAAATAAGAATTTGGATTGTCCGCCGTTATCACGCACTGGAGTCCGTAGTTTCGGTTCAAAGAGAGTACAGGCGCACGTTTGGCGGCAATCCTCCGAGCAGATGGACCATAATGAGACTTGTAAACAATTTTGCCGAGCATGGGACAGTCAACAGAAGAGCTTACCATCGAAACCCTTCAGTTCGAACGGAGGAAACAATCACTGCTGTCTACAAAGCAATCCACGCGTTTCGACAAGAAGCTTATCTGCTCAAATGGGTGAAAGCAGATAGTCATTACAGTCAATTATGCACAAACATTTGGACTTAGTCCCATATACAATTCAAATGGCCAATAAACTGAACGCTGCAGACTTGCCGATTCGCTTGGAATTTTGCCAGATGGTGTAAGAGGATGGAAACATGTTGAACTGTCTTTTCATGACGGAATTGCATCCACTTCGTGTCACAGTGTGGTGTGAAGTTTCATCACGCTATATTGTCGGGTCCTACTTCTTCGAAGAAAACGGTCATACCGTTACGGTTAGTGGAGACCGTTACTTGAGCATGTTGAGAAATTTTTTCTATCCACAATTACGCCGAATGAGAATTTCTTTCAACAGGAAGTCTACAAAGAAAAACCAACAAATTTGAATGAACTAAGGCAATCCATTCGAGAAACAATTGCGGCTATTCCTGTCTCAACTCTCCAAGCAGTAATGAATAACTTTTTGGTAAGATGCCGCACATGCATTAACGAGGGGCATTTAAATTCCATTATTTTTTAAAACTAATTAAGCTATATTTAATAAAATTTAATGAGCTTTACGGGGCATCTCGACAGGATAAAATCTATGTCTTACTAACTGTCAAATCTATTGCTATTGCCATTGCCAAATTTGTTATCTTGACATAATCATTTGCGCAAAGGCGTAGAGTAGGTAGCTGATTTAGCTTTTATGAGGAAAATAAAAAAAAGGATTATGATCTTTTTTTTTACACATGTATTGCTGGGAAAAATAAGATAATAACAAAGGAGAAAAATCCTTTTTTCCACAAACGTATTTCTGGGAAAAAGAGAATTCATATTTTTGGACTAATATATAATGATTGTGACATAAATATACCAATTAAAATAATAAATTTAAAATTAGGGAATCTCGAACCTTTATTACAATTTCCTCAACCTTATTGTATCTAAATTTGTTACAGTTTCCAAAAGGTCATTGTTAAAAATATTAAAATTCTGCTGACATGTAAGGACGCTGATGTTGCAAGAGAGGTGTATTCTGAAAGAAATTACAGTTAATTATTTTAAGAAAAATTCGTTTATATTTCCTCCACCTTCAATTAAAATCAAGTGACTATCTTTTCCATCCTGGTGTGTATGATGGACGCTTTTTTTGGATTTGTCTGTAAGACAATAACTTTAAAAAAATATAACATTTTATTTATTTTCCGACTACTTACGTCTAACAGATATGATGCGTTCCGATTCACCCATCGAATTTTTCGCCACACAGTGATAATCCCCAAAATCTTTTGAAACAACGGGACGTATAGTTAAACGCATAACAATTCTGAAAACATTATCCAAAGTAACGGATTCATAGGTGCCGCTCTGAACAAATTCCTTGCCTTTCAACCATAGATTAACAGTCGTAGGGTGAGCTTCGGAAATGCACTCGAGGGTAACCTTTTGACCGAAACCCGCATATATGGTGTCGTAGCGCGTCCAAACGGTGGGTGCAACTGAGAGTGGAACCATTTTTTAAATTTTATTAATATCTACATACTTACATATATGAGACTAACAATTAACAGCAAGTAGTACCCGTTTGCTCACAGTCGGTGGTATACCATTCGAAGCTATACACAAATATGCGCCCATACTTTCTCTTGTCACCTGCCACAGCGTCAAATTTGTACCGTCAATGCTGTAAATGTCAGTTCCATCGGCAGTCTGTAACAACGGAACATCGCGTTCACGACGCCAAGTGACCGTGGGTATTGGCAATCCTGTAGCAGTGCATATTAGAGTCACGTTTTGTCCCTCCTGCACAGTCATGTCGTGGCTGGTTTGATAGTCAATTATGTCGGGTGGCACGACCACATCCAAATAGCCGACTTGGCTTTTCATCGGATCGGTATTTATCTGACACATATACCAGCCTCGATCTGATTCTTGAACATCTCTTATACGCAATTGCCAGATACGGTGCTCTGTGTGACTAATGCCTATGCGATGGTTTTTCGTAATGACGTGGTTTTGTATGCTGAGAATGGTTTGAGTGTCCACTCTTAGCCACGCAAGCTGTAAATGATATAGTGTTTTAATAAGTTTCTACGTTTATCTTGTGTTTATTTAATAAGTGGTATTATTGTAAGTGCAGATTTGTTTACAAAAGAAACAATTGACCTTTGGGGTGTCATACTTTCTTTCAAATTTCTAACTATACAGAACTTGTGCTAAGCAATGACTAGTCTGGGTTCAAACGGTGACATCGTAAAGCTTGTATTCTATGATATCATTGTTCTTTTGTGGCATTTTCCATAAGTCCGGATCTCAGGATTGCCGAGTGGTTTTGTCTAATCAAGTCGATATTAATGTTATAAATTAACAAGTCAAAGGTTGTATGGGAATTCATTTCATCAAAGGCAGATACTTGCTTTCAATTTTTGAAATTGAGCTTATTGAAAATATCATTATTGATTACGTAATGTCAGTAAAGAAAGAAATAAAGATATGAGGATAACCCCTGTTTTCCAATTCTTTTAATGCAAAAGAGCTATCGCTTGTTAATTTGATGAAAGGGCGCGTGATCACGCAAAAATACCAAATTTTCACAAATCGATTGGTCGATTTAGCCATGTCCCTTGGTCTGCCCGTCTGTCTGTATATACACGAAGTAGGACCTCATTATTCAGATGTCGAACTGAAATTTTGCTTAAGTTCTTTTCTCTCCAAGCTGTCATACAAACCGTTCGATCGAAATCAAGTCCTTATATGGAAAACTTTTTTAATTTCAGTTTATAACAGCACGCCAGTCGCTCATTGGGACCGAATTTAAGTCATAACCGCAGTGAATACCATTGGTCAACCACCGTGTTCACTAGATTTGGTTGCGTGTAATTTTTTCTTGTTCCTCAAACTAAAATTGCCACCCGTTTTCAATCGATCGATGAGATAAAACAAAATTCACTGATTCGAAATTCGATGGCATAAGCGATACAGTGGTGATACATCTGATCGGGATAGCTTTGAAGACGACTAAAGAAATATTGAATCGAATTAAATATTTTTCATTTTATTAACAATTTATGGACCGACATACTATAGCATATATCTGAAACTAAAACTGATCAAACAAATTTAAGATATAGATTTTCATAATAGTAATCTTAATTCTGACTAACAGTTTTCACGACACGAGCGAGACGAGAGAAGGAGACGAAGGCCCAAACGAGCATGGGTGGGGAGTCGTCTCTTTCGGACACAACAAGCGTTGAGGGCAAATCGTCGACCGACAACTCCTCCCTTAATTTCTAAATGAATGGTTCTTAATGACCTTTCCTCCTCCGATCGTAGGTATTTATATTAGTTGTAACCTGGACAGAGCAGATCGGGTTAGAGAACCATATGGAAACTTTAGAAACACGGACTGGGACCTTTACGGAAAGAAGCTTCGATCAGTCCTTCTTGTTACGCCAGGTCGAAGGACAAGGCTATCTGCCAACGCGATCGATGAGTTCTGTATGTAGGTTTGTCTTTGAAAGCTCTTATTCTCTGAAAACTCAGAAGCAAAGAGGAAATCTCTTTGGTAGACACCGGAGTTATCCGAAGTCATATGTTCAAACAGAAGACGGTTCAATAAGGTACGTAAAAATGGACTTGGTGTAGATTGGGCATTGTATAAAAGGAATCTTGCTATATATGTATAAGATCGACATTAGGAAGGCCTAGATGTCAAAAAAATGAAAATAAATGAAAATTTAATTAACCAACCTTGAAAGACATCAAGTCGTGTACGATGCAAGTGAGAGTCGCATCACGTCCAACCGGTGTCGTTACATTATTTATAGGTCCACTAAATTTGGGATCGGCTGTAAAAAAATATAGTATGATATAATTAATATTGTAAAAAAGACTAAGGAATGCTGATGAAAGTTAGATGTATGGAAAATAAATAAGTAGTGAGTGTATTGTAAAAATACTTGTGATTGCAATATGTTAAGTGTATTATAAAATATCTGTTATTGTTAAGATTTAATATATTTTATAAAGCTCTGCTACCATAGATAATTGAAGCGACGTCAGGATAGGGAAAACGATTTCGGGTTGAGCTCATCAACTTAGGATACTTAAATGAAGTTGATCGGGATAACTACCACCCTAAAGCTATTAAAGGGAAATGCAAGCATTATGCGTCAAATTAGTTTTACATTCACCGTAGATCTGACCCTCAGTAACTTCGTTCTGCTCTCGTTCGCTGGCAAGAAATATGGAAATATTATGACTTCTTCTTTAAGGGGGTATTCTAGTCTAGAAATTTGAAAAAATTCGATAGTTTTGATATTCAAAAATATCTCCCTAAAAGGATTTTTTAAAACTCAATTTATTTTCAAAGTTATAGGATTTGTTAAAACTCAAATTATTTTCAAAATTATAGCCATTTTATGAAATTTTTTTTTTTTTTTGTTTTGCGACTTCATGACATAGCGACTTTCATAAGAATCTAACATTGTTTTATTTTTCAGATGACGACAAGGGTAGAAATCATGTCGATGAGGACACGGCCTCTTTCCCCCCTTTTCTTCAAGAACGCATAACTCGATGAAAAAAATTTTTTTTTTTGAAATTTATTTTGTGTACTCTTCTCAGTTTAATAAACAAATGATAAAAAAAACGGTTAGTAAAAATATCTTGTGTCCGTTGGTTTTATTCGGATCACTTTTTTATATTGATTAATAGGCAAGCAGGTGAATCGATGTTTATTTTATTATCGTTATTATAAGTCATTGACCACTCTCTTCGGATTATTTCATAGCCACAGAAAGTAGACAATTTTAAAATTTTTTAAATATTCTTCGTCCAACCAAATTGTACTCGCTACTGGGAACATACAAAGTCATGTGCATATTTTCGATACAACAAAGCATAACAAACCGCAAAATTTTATTATGTTATATAAGCGAAAAATGCCGTGATAATAAGCGTAAACACTTAACAAATGTTGAAACTACCAGATTCTTTTTCGCCCATTTGCCAATAAGATTGCTATAAGCATATGCAAAGATATGCCCTAAGAGGTTAAGCGTAATTTAGGATATACCTTAGGGAGTTCGTTGCCAACACATTTTAACACACACATGTCTAGACAAAATGTTGCACACATGCAAAGGTAACTGGAAGTTTACCGCTAGACGCGTCATTAACACTGAAAAAGCAGCATTTATTACGAAGTTGGGGGTAGTTAGGTAGTTTATAGGAACATATGTCGTGTTTACCGATTTAGCGAAGCATTATACTTGCTTATTTTTAAACTCCAATTAAATTTTGGCGAAGTATTAAGCGTTCTTAACCCTCATTTGTACTGATGGGTCCAGCCAAACTTCTTTGAACTTTAAATCGCCATTTCATATACTAGTATACACGTTTATGTTTCAATACTTCATGATATCCTAGATGATATATTTTAGTATGATTTTGTTCATATATATATTTATAAAAATTGATAAATAGTTTTTAAATTATAGTTTCAACCTAAAAGTCATATTGAGTACTAATGGGTCTGGCCAGACCCATGCGCTCATTACGCAACGGGAACATACTTTTGTATGAATTGGAATGCTCTCTTGTTATTCTATTCATGATTTGTTTTGCTCATTTGAATTTAAAGTTCCGTTATCAAAAACATTGTTGGTTTTCACATGTTAGATGTTGTCATTTGAAGTTAGAAGTGAAAAGTGATGTTCACATTCAAGTAATGAATAATCGGTGGTATTCTGTTAAAGTGTGTATTTATTGAATAAAAATGAGTAAAATAGATTTCATATATGATAATGTGCCGCGTTGTGATCCAAATTTTTATGACTTGGTTGCAAATTCTTTGGCAGAAGAGGTTGAAAACAACAGTGAAAATGATGATAATGATCTTGATTTCGGCGCCTCAGAAATAGAAAATGAGTTGGAATTTGAAGCCTCAGATGTTGGATCTAAACATGAAATTGAAGTCGCTGAAGAATATAGTAGCACAGATAGCGACGATGATTTGAATACTGATGAAGGTACCATCAACTTTATTGGCAAAGATGGGACCGTTTGGAGTAAGGCAGCACCTCAAAGTAGTCGTGTTCGCTCTCATAATGTACTGCGTTCATCCGGTGGATCGACAATCACATCATGTTCGCCTGTTGAAGTTTTCGATGCGTTTTTTACACCAAACATATCATACATCATTGTAAGCAAAACCAACAATTACGGTACGGAAAAAACCAATGACTGGAACTTTAAAAATCCCAACAAATTGAAAGAATGGCAAAACTTTATAGAAACGGAGCTCAGAGGTTTTCTAGGCATTCTTATAGCAGCAGGAGTCACCAATAACAATAGTCAGGCTGCGTCAGTTTTATGGAAAACAAACCAGTTGCCAATTTTCAGAGCAACGATGTCTTACCGTCGGTTTTTGACCATATCCCGTTATATACGATTTGATGACGGTCGCACTAGATCTTTCCGCTTAGAAACAGATAAAGCGGCACCTATACGAGATATTTGGAACTTTCTAAATGCAAATCTCCAGAAGAATTTTCGTCCATATAGCGATATAACTGTTGACGAACAACTTTTCCCGTATCGAGGTAGAACGAAATTTACTCAGTACATAAATTCAAAACCGGCTAAGTACGGTATAAAAATATGGTGGGCTTGTGACGCAAAAGCTCATTGTCCTTTGAGTGGAAATATCTATACCGGAAAAGAGCCCAACGAAGGGAGAGCAAAGAACCAAGGGGAAAATGAGCTTATACGTTTGGTTTCAAAATATTCAAATTCTGGGCGCACAATAGTAGATGACAACTTTTTTTCCACTTTAAATTTATGTAATTGTATAATTTTTTTTCACATTTATAAAAAAATAAATTTATGTAAGCGAATAATAAGCTTGGGGCTGTCCTTCGTTGGAACCCTTCGAAGCAATAAAGCATGTATCCCACCTGAAATGAAGAAAAACAAGAATAGTAGGCAAAGAAAAATAGGCAGTTCTTTCATCTGAGTTTGGATTTCATCAAGACAACGTAGCCATTTGTTCATATGTTACTAAGAAAAACAAAGCGGTAATATTACTGTCCACGGTACATTACGATAAGGAAGTTGAAGGCGTCAAGCGAAAACCAGCAGCAATAATGCATTACAACAAAAATAAAGTTGGTGTTGATGTCATGGACCAAATGCTAACGCATTACACTACCAATAGAAAAACTAAGAGATGGACTCTTGCATCTTTGTATAATATTGTTGATGTAATGGCATTAGGCAGTTTTATTATATGCAAAGAAAATAATAATTACACGAAATCAGACGCTCGTAGAAAGTTTTTATATGATTTGTGCGAAATGTTAGCTCATCCGCAAATCGAGTCGAGACGTAACAATATACATGTAATAAAGCATTCCGTTTGCCGTTCCGCAATTGAAGATATTTTGGGAAAATTTGAGGTATGTATTCAGTAATATTATATATATAGGGCAAACATATTTACAAGTTACAAAATTTATTTTACAGAAACACCCAAATACGCTAACAGACACCAAAAGTGAGACTTTAGAAAAGAAAAGGAACTGCAGCTTATGCCATGCTCAAGACAAACATCGTCGTAAAACAAGGTTCTTTTGCCAAGAGTGCGCAGATGCTGTATGTCAACAAAATGTTATTACAAATGCTTTAAGTGCATAAAGGAAAATTAATTCTATTTTCATTCTTTTACTTGCTTTTCGTGAATACTTTATTTGAGTTTTTAAAATGTTATTTGAAATAAAAAAATTAAAGTTTCTCCAAAATGATGTTAGGTTTACTTTTGGGTCCAGCCAGGCCCATTGGTACTCTATATGACATTCCAAGTATCCGTCAAGATGAGGGTTAAATTAAAGCAAATATCTACATGTTTTCTTATATGGTATAACTTTGAGGCGAATGCGAGCAACTAAGTTCTAATTTTCCTAGCAATGGTCGGCATTTTTTGGAAAATATATTGATTTCTATCTAGTATTTTTAACACTTCAATGGATCCTTTAAAGCAATTTCTTGATTTTTAAAATTACAAAGATAATATTTATTTTTCGGCTAAATTTTTTTGTTGCATAAAATTTGCTTTAAATACCGCCCACGCTGTTGAGTAGTACAGTCCAACAGGCCAGAAATTGAGGCACCAACACCATACGAAGTTTTTGTGTCCCAAGCATATCACAAAATATTCCTGACAATTATGGTAGTTATCGTTAGAATACTTTTTAAGTAGCAATGCTTTACAATGAATACTTAGCTCTAACCAACTAGTTAAAAACCAAATATTGATGTGTTACTGGCGATATAAGGTGCCACCATACTGAAAAACGTGGTGGGGCGAGATGTTGGTCTTTGTCTGACATAGCCCCAGTAACAATGAGTTAGAAATTCAGTTCTAACAATAAGGGCCGAAGGATTTGCGAATTAATAGAACCAAAATAATAAAGTCAATTCAAACAGTCTTTGATTTCAAATCCAAAAGAATTTTCTACTACTACTTTCTAGTTTTCTACTTCACGATATTCCTCAGATTTAGAAGCCCTAGAAATGAGTTGTAGAAGTTAAGTAAGCCGCTTAACATTTTTTCTTGCCAAATACTCGTACTGAAATTACATTGTTCTTGGAACTTGAAGCTTGACTATGTTTAACATTTTAACTACTCCTATATTCCACGATCTTCTTGAAAGTTTCATTCTCCGAAGGTTTAAATCTGAAGATATTGAATCGGTAATGAATTTTCCCTATAATTGTATTCTTCGAGGAAGACAATTGATAAGTTTCATGACAGGTTGATTGGCATATTCAAGTTTTGTAAAAGTGCTAAAATCAAAGATCAATCAACGACACTCCTAATTTTACGAGTTTTCCCTTCTAACTTATAACTGCTAATGTGAACGACATTTTGTGTATGAAATACGTTTTTGTGCGATTAGTTCCAATAAAGCTGAATGTTTGTGCGAATTCCGATCTCACTTTCATGGAGAGCATTATAACCGATGAGACATTGATTTATGCGTTTGACATGCAAATAAGTCAATAATCATTGGAATGGAGGGAAAAACAAGCCGTGATGCTCATTGTGTTTTTCGATATTAGTGTGTACTATTTACTTGGTACATCATGAATTTGGTATATACGATTTCCGGCTATTTTTTTTGTCATAAGGAAATGACTTTGTTCTTCCATACTCAAATGTGCTCTTAGGATTTAATATTCTGCATTTTTTGCGGCTTAATAATATCTTCCACAAATATTCTCCAATAAATTGAAAATTTCTGCTTACTTTGCAAAAGATACATAATTAAATCTTAGCAAGCTTAAAGAAAAAAATTAGTTGTCGTTGCAAATAAATTTGGGTGGAATGTAAGGATATCCAGATGGCCGCAACAAAAATTAACTGACCTCGAAATGAGCATCCGTTATAAATTTGAGGCATATTTTAATAAGTATTAAGTCGTTATTAATGTCTACAAGCGACAATTATTTTTTGATATTTAAAAGTTTTGAAATACCAACATGCAAAGGTCGTGGTGAAAGTAGAGGAAGCAATTATATAAATTAACAGCTTAGCTGCTCAACAGGCCTGGCAGTGGTAAATTTCAAATGTAGCATCAACCATGCAAAGTCTCGGAGTGGAAGGAGACACATTTTTCTGGTTTATCTTATACTTATGCTGTGTGTTAAAAATTAAATATGTTAAATTTAATATTTAGATACGGCTGCGGGCATCCAAAATCTGTTTTGAGGTTTACAGACTGTGGCGCGTTTGTAGCATGGAGCTAAAAATGGACTGATAAGAATAAGGCATTATATGTACATCGTTTTTGCACATTTCTATACAAAATAGTAAGTTTATGGCAAACAAGAATTTGCGATGAATTAAAAATCTGATATTTTTCAAAATTCCGAAAATTTTCTACAAAAGGAATTTGAGTTTTGAAAATTAAAACTCGAAGGACTTGAAAAAGAAAACATTTTTA